TCTCACATTACAACCCCCCCAAGTAGTATGCTTTGTCATCCTCACATGAATCCCCCCTACACACACACACACCACAGTACTGCCCCTTCACTTTACATGACTCCACCCCCTTCTTTACTTCACTTGTGTGCCCTGTCCTCTTGAAATCCACCCCCTCCACAGAGCACTGCCCCCCTTCACATCATATACCCGCACACACAGCTTGAGTATAGTGTCCTCTGCCCCCCTTCATTCTCCTGCCAAATGTGGGAGGCACAGCATTGAACGGCGTGCAGGAGCGGGTTAACTTGAAAAGTTAACCCTGGCAACCCCCACCCTCTGTTCAATGCTGTGCCTCCCACACTTTGTCCAGAAATGTTCTGCCTCACGCTCTCTGCTCTGCTGTTATATTAACAGCAGTGGAGGCTGGTGGAAAGTAGCGCTCCTAAATGGCATGACCATGGGTCCGGGTGGAACCGTGACTCGGTCCGCCATTTAGTGATGCCCGCTCTATAGTGTGTACTTGTCTCAATTAAGAGCACCAAGTGTCATTTCTGTCTTCTGCCTCGTTCCTCTATCAGCATGAATCACTTCTGACAAGTTTTCCTGACATCAAGAGAAAAATGGTGACGGGAAGGACCTCTAGCAGATTGCAACCTCAGCTCTGTTCCTGTGTGAAGGCAAAGGGGATGTCTGTTCCCTCCAGTCAGCTCTGAGTTCTCACTGAGCTCTGCAGTCTGTAATTTCAGCTCTCTGGCTCCTTCTTTTTTTTTTTTTTTTTTTTATTCTGAACTCTCGGTCCAAGCTTTAAAATGTAACACTTTGAACGGATGTAGAGAAGAGATGACTGTTGATAAATGGGTACAACTTATGTGAGAGGATTTGTTTTCTCTCTGTATCACCTGAGGCCAGTCACTTCATTGGGTATATGTAAAGGTTTACAACCACTTTAACTAGCCTGTCTGTAGTCCAGACCTTTCACCAATTTTCACATTTTCCATTTCAAGATGTGTCAAATAGTTTCAAAGACAACCCAGGACTGTTAAGCAGTTAGCATTCTGTAAAGAATGGGACAACATTCCTCTCCCAAATCTCCTGCAACTGGTCTCTTCAGTTTCCAAATGTTTACAGAGTGTACATTTGATATGTTTACTATTGTAAATAAAATATGGGTTTATGAGATTTGCAAATCATTGCATTCTGTTTTTATGTGGATTTTACACAACGTCCCAGCTTTTTTGGAATTGGGGTTGTATATTGTCAAAACTTACCTGTTCTGAACCAGCAACAATTACTTTTATCTTCCATTCACATTGCTTGTGTTTGTCGCAGGCAAGGGAACTGGGAAAGCTGTTTCCAGCCTTGGACCTTGAGGTGTACAGCCGTGGCCAAAATTTGAGAATGACACATACAGTTTATTAATTTTCACAAAGTCTGCTGCTTCAGAGTTTACTATGGTATGCTGAAGTATAATTAAAAGCATTTCATAAGTGTCACAGGCATTTATTGACAATTACATTGTTTATGCAAAGAGTTAATATTTTCAGTGCTGACCCTTCTTTTGCAAGAACTCTGCAATTTGCCCTAGCATGCTGTCAATTGACTTCTGGGCCACAACCTGACTGGTGGCAGCCAATTATTGCATAATTAATGCTTGGAGTTTGTCAGAATTTGAGTTTTTTTGTTCACCTACCTCCTGGGGATTGATCACAAATTCTCAATGGGATTAAGGTCTGGGAAGTTTCCTGGCCATGGACACAATTTCAATGTTTTATCCCACAAGCCACTTATCAATTTTGCTTTATGGCAAGGTGCTCCATCATGCTGGAGAAGGCATTGTTCCTCACCAAACTGTTCTTGGATTGTTTGGAGAAGTTGCTCTCTGAGGATGATTTTGTACCGTTTTTTTATTCATGGCTGTGTTCTTAGGCAAAATTGCAAGTGAGCCCACTTGCTTGGCTGAGAAGCAATGCACACATGAATAGTCTCAGGATGCTTCTTCCAGATGCCCCAAACCATCAGAAAGGGGATTCATCAGAGAAAATTACTTTACCCCGGTCTTTGCAGATAATATCAGTCTGTCCCTGATATTTTTCCTGGAGAGAAGTGGCTTCTTTGCTGACACCAGGCCAGCCTCCAAAAGTCGTTGCCTCACTGTGCGTGCAAATGCACTCACACCTGCCTGCTGCCGTTCCTGAGCATGCTCTGCACTGGTGGTGCCCCGATCCCACAGCTGAATCATCTTTAGGAGACGGTCCTGGTGCTTGCTGGACTTTCTTGGCGCCCTGAAGCCTTCTTCACAACAATTAAACCTCTTTCCTTGAAGTTCTTGATGATCTGATAAATGGTTGATTTAGGTGAAATCTTAGTAGCAGCAATATCCTTGCTTGTGAATCCCTTTTTGTGCAAAACAATGATGACTGCACATGTTTCCTTGTAGGTAACCATGGTTAACAGAGGAAGAACAATGTTTCAAGCTGCAGCCTCTTTTTAAAGTTTCCAGTCTGTTATTCTAACTCAATCAGCAAGATTGATCTCCAGCCTTGTCCTCGTCACCCTTTAACACCCTTTAACACGTCCCTTTAACACTGACACCTGTGTTAAAGAGAGAATCACTTTACATAATGTCAGCTTGTCCTTTTGTGGCAGGGCTGAAATGCAGTGGAAATGTTTTTTGGGCGGATTACATTCATTTTCACAGCAGATAGACTTTGCAATTAATTGCAATTCATGTGATCACTCCTCCTAACATTCTGAAGCATATGCAAATTGCTGTCATAAAAACTGAGGCAGCAGACTTTGTGAAAATTAATATTTTGTGTCATTCTGACCAAACGTTTGGCCAGGGCTGTATATGTGCACTATGAGTATGGGCTGGCAGGGGCCACTCAGTGCAGAGACATTAAAAGCCTGTATTTATGCAGTTTTGAACATCTAGAAACACCTGCTGAGTAAAAGAAGAAATTTCCGTGCCTTTGGTGTCAACTTTTAAAGATGAACTTCTCCAGAATCCCTATAGTTCCCTTGTTTTAAAAATGCTTTTGCTGCTTGTTCAGAATATGTAAGTACTTTTAGTGTGCATGATATGGACACGAGTTCACTTTAAGTGTCTTAAGCTTGACAAATACTTTAAAGCGGAGCGCCAGACAAAGTTAAAAAAAAAAAGTCAGCAACTGCATAAACTAGCAGCTGACTTTTAAAAAAAACAGACACTTAGCTGACCCTCGGTCCAGTGCTGTCCTCACCACAGCCAGTATCACTGGCCATGCTCTCTCCTCAGTTCTGGCATCTTAAGTGTGGGCACCCAGCTGTGACAGATTGCAGCTTCACAGCCGGGTGCCCACTGCACATGCGCGCGTAGCCTTGTGTATGTTCTTGTTGTCTTTCCCCCTGCACCCCCCCCTTCCCCAAAGGTGCCAATTCTTAATGGAGAGCGGGGGACGAAGCCTTAAAGTGGAACTTCCCCTATTGCATGGAGCTCCGCTTTAATCACAGAATCACAGTACAGTCCATTTTAAAATGATTTCCTATGGGACATGTTCACACCTGTACGTTTTTTGAAAAGGGTCCGGGACTTTTTTGAGCACAAAAAGTTGTGGTTTTGGTTCTATAGACTTCAGTGGAAATTCTGCAGAAAAGCATGTATTGCGTTTTTGCTGCATTTTGCGTTTTAAATCTGCCTAGCTGTAAAAAAAAAAAAAAAAAAGCAAGTGCAAAACGCAATGCAGAATCGGCTCAAACGCAACCTGAATAGGTGTGAACCTAGCCTTAAGGTAAAAAAAAAAACAAAAAATAAAAACACTCCCCCCCTCCCCCTTTCCCTAAATACTTACCGTAGTCTTCTATCGATCCAGTGTTGTGCCTGCATGTAGCTCTTCTCTGCCCTCTTCTTGCTCTCTCAGGCTACAGTGAGAACAGCGGTAGCCATTGGCCATCAAGTGCTGTGAGGAAGGCGCAGCAGGTGTGGCTGAGCCGTGCTGTGTGTCTATGTACACACACAGCCTGGGCCAGAAGAGTGCCCACATGGGTGCCACAATATCACACGGCTTGTATGGGGGCACTTGTAAGAAGGGAAGGGAGAGCGGTGACAGAATATCTCCAAAGATCAATATCCTTGCACAGAGCAGGGACGTATAACCCATTTTTCAGTTTAATTTAAAAAAAAAAAAATTGCCTTTTGGAAGCACTTTAAAAATGAGTTTAAAATATATCAAACAAATGTAAAAAGCACTTGTTTTCCTCCAACAAAATGTGTACCTTTTTGGTGCACATTTAGCAACTGCCTTTCATATATATGGTAGCGGTGGCACATCAAAGTGAGGGAATTATAGGGCAATTATTTATCTAAACTGTTGAACTAGAAGTATTTTTAAGACTTCATGAAACATATTGAGTATCGTAGTTTGTCACCATTTTGTGGATGCACGTAAATGTTTCGACTTGGCAAATTTGCTGTCTATTAACGTAACACAATCTCATCTTTTATATTTTTAAATACATATTTAGAGGATTATTGTGTTCAGTTTTGTGTACACTAAAACTAATTTTAGCATATTTTTTAAGCTGTTTAAGAGAGAGGTTGAGCAAATTTCATGCAACATAGTTTTTCAACTACCATCTTTTTATTTTGCAGGGCTTCTGTTTTAAAAAAATGTTTAAGGGGTTTTAGGTCATCTTAGGACAAAATGTGCACAGTTTAATAATATGGGGGGAGGGGAGACTCTGGCAGCAAAAGGGTTAAACTTCATTTATCTGGAAGCATACTGTATATCCATTGCTCTGTAAAGGACCATACATAGAAAACTGGCATTAGACATTTGCTACAGAATTCTTATCCAGATGCTATTTTACGGTTAATTGTTTTGGCTTTTGTATGTGTTTTTCTTATGTTCTGTCTCGCTTATAAAATCCGCATAATAAGGAAACATTGATTAATCCATCTCAGCTGTTCATGTGCTTTTAATGTGAAGTGGACATTGTTTTTATGGTGATATATAACAGATGTTTAATTGTATTTACAGCACAGAAGCAAGACCAGACTTTCAGTTAAAACTGGAAGTATATAGCTGTTGCATGGAGGAATCATCTATAACAAACACTCCCAAGAAACTTGCACGGAAGCTCAGAAACTCAATTGGGAAATCTGCTGGGAAGAAATTTAATTCAGAGACTGAAGAATCTGAGCCAGAAGCTTTTGTGTTCTCAAATCTTCACATGCCGTGAGTTATTTTTGCAACCTTTAATGTTACTAGTAAAGTATATATACTCAAGGTTTTGTTGCTGGGAAATCTGGATGACTAGCTTAGTAACTTGCTTTTTGCTTCATGTCATGTCTTTGCTGGTGGTAATTCTTAAGCAGAGTAGTACACTGTAAATACCTCTAGATGTCACTATTGGGATTGTGGTTATTTAGTGTTGTACTGACATAAAGGCCTCAAAAGTTAATATTGTTACTGCTTGTAAGATCACATTCATATATGCTTTAATTTGCAAACATTTGAAGAAAGAGTAAATTGATTTTAAAGGCAAACTCTATTTTCAGTGCATATTTTGAGCTCTTGTAATGTTTTTTTTCCTGCATATTAAGGAACACAGGGTCAAATAATTTTGGTACACTGGGTTATTATGCTGCCTTCAGGAAACTGGACACTGGAAAACAAAGTTTAAAAAAACAGCCCAGTGCAGCACCACCCACTCCCATGCTGCTTTTTTTCAGAGGAGAATTAGGACCAGTCTGTATACAGTTGCAAGAAAAAGTATGTGAACCCCTTGGGATTACCCCTTGGAGTTTTGCATGAATTGGGCATAAAATGTGCTCTGAACGTCATCTAAGTCACAACAATAGAAGAACACAGTCTGCTGAACATAATACTACACACAGATGTTGCCATGGTTTAATTGCACATAACATGTAAACATTCACAGTGCAGGGAGGAAAAAGTATGTGAACCTTTGGACTTAATAACTGGTTGACCCTCCTTTGGCAGCAATAACCTCAACCAAACGTTTCCTGTAGTTGCAGATCAGACCTGCACAACGATCTGGAGTCATTTTGGACCACTCCTCTTCACAAAACTGTTTCAGTGTAGCAATATTCTTGGGATGTCTGGTGTGAATCGCTCTCTTAAGGTCATGCCACAGCATTTCAATTCGATTTGAGGTCAGGACTCTGACTGGGCCACTCCAGAAGGCGTATTCTGTGCTGTTGCAGCCATTGTTTTGTTGAATTACTTGTTTGCTTTGGGTCATTGTCCTGTTGCATCACCCATCCTCTGCGGAGCTTCAGTTGGCGGACAGATGGTCATATGTTTTCCTGCAAAATGTCTTGATAAACTCTGGAATTCATTTTCCCATCAATGACAACAATCTGTCCAGGCCCTGAGGCAGCAAAGCAGCCCCATACTATAATGCTCCCTCCGCCATGTTTTACAGTGGGGATGAGGTTTTGATGTTGGTGGGCTGTGCCTTTTTTTCTCCACACATAGTGTTGTGTGTTCTTCCCAAACAACTCAATCTTGGTTTCATCTGTCCACAGTATATTTTGCCAGTAGTGCTGTGGAACATCCAGGTGCTCTTTTGCAAACTTCAAACGTACTGCAATTTTCTTTTTTAGACAGCAAGTGGCTTCCTCCGTGGTGTCTTCCCATGTACTCCATTCTTGTTTAATGTTTTCCTTATTGTAGATGTGTCAACAAAAATGTTAGCATGTGCCAGAGATTTCTGTAGGTCTTTAGCTGACACTCTGGGATTCTTCTTTACCTCATGCAGCATTCTGCGCTGTGCTCTTGCAGTCATTTTTACAGGACGACCGGGCCTAGGGAGAGTAGCAACAGTGCTAAACTTTCTCCATTTGTAGACAGTCTGTCTTGCTGTGGACACATGAACATCAAGGCTTTTGGAGATACTTTTGTAACCCTTTCCAGCTTCATGTAAGTCAACAATTCTTGATCTTAGGTCTTTTGAGAGCTCTTTTCTGCGAGGCATGGTTCACATCAGACAGTGCTTCTAGAAACCAGTAAACCCAAAACAGGTGTGTGTTTTTTAAGGGCAGGACAGCTGTCAGCAACACATCCAATATAATCACACTGATTGGAGTCAAGGTTGGCTCACTCCTGGCTCCAATTAGCTCTGGGAGAAGTCATTAAGCTAGGGCCTCACATACTTTTTCCTCCCTGCACTGTGAATGTTTACATGTTATGTGCAATTGAACCATGGCAACGTCTAATGTTTGTGTATTATTATGTTCAGCAGACTGTGTTCTTCTATTGTTGTGACTTAGATGACATTCAGAGCACATTTTATGCCCAATTCATGCAAAACTCCACGTAATCCCAAGGGGTTCACATACTTTTTCTTGCAACTGTAGCTCTTCAGGCATTGGGATCTGCTGTTGTGGTCTCCTAGACACTTCCGGGTTGATTTACTAAAGTCAAATAAAATGTTTTCTATGCAAGGGAAGTTGCATTTTTCAAGGGCATTTGCCCCAGAGCTTAGTGATTGTGGTGAAATAAAAAATAGAAAAACAGTATTTTTGCTTTGCTTGGATGATGGAAATCAGCAGAACTGCACCTCATTCACTAAGCTCCGGGACAAAATACCTTTGAACATTGCCTATTTTCATTTAGTAAATCAACCTGTTTTTGTAACTTGTGAGGCATATACCGTGATACTGAGAATGAGAATCCAAGCTCTGCTGTGTCCCTGGCACACCTTGTGTCCGCTGTAAGAAAAGTTATTAGCCTGGGTCCTCTCAGAAGCCCCCAGCTTGTTAATGTTTCCAGTACTCACTACTACAGTCTGTTTTATATAGTGATTTGCCCTAAGCCAGATAGTGTTTACTGCCTCCCAAGAGTTTTTTTTCCATCAATATAGAGGAGGGGTTCCTTTTAAAAGTTCCCCCCCCCCCCCTTCTGGTATTAGTGTTGTTTAGCTAGTGATTACTGTACACCTTCAAATCCAGACTAGGTCTCCTTTCGGTATACATATAGAGAACCCTTTGGCTCAAATGCTGGTCTGTGGAGCTTCAATGTGAAAGATTATCTGGATTTTAATTGGAAATGTCTGTTTGGCAAATCCCTGGTCAGCTCTCTCAAACACATTACTGGGGGAAAGGGCACCCTTTTGCCTCTGCAAAGGAAGGCTAAGTTTAGAGTTTCTTTTAGAATGTCCGAGGCCTTAAAATCCAGGGTCAAGCCTGGGTATTTTTTGTGGGCTAGGAAGATTTGAGTGTCCCAAACCAAGTCCTGCTTAGATACAGATTGTGGTATTCAGGGCATCTATGAACTGGCACAATTCCTTCTGTCAAGGTGTTGTAGCTGTTCTAGAAGAGGAAAGTTTCTAGGCTTTCTACTAAAATCTTTTCACAGTTTCCAGAGTGAAAGGGGGCACTTGCCCTATGCAGGACCTAACGATTCTCAATACCTTACTGTGGTTACAAATATTTCATATAGAATCTATAAGGTCAGTTATTGGGGAAGATGTACTAAAACTGGTGCATCTGTGCATGGTAGCCAATCGGCTACAAACTTCAGCTTGTTCAATTAAGCTTTGGCAATAAAACCTGGAAGCTGATTGGTTTCAATGCAGAGTTGCACCAGATTTTGCCCTCTCCAGTATTAGTAAGTAACCCTCATTGCTTCCCTCTTTCCAGGAGATTTTCTGGCTTTTGGGGAGTTCAAGGATGCCTATTTGCAAGTTCTCATTTTTCAGTTGTATCACTGCTTCCTGCATATTGCAGTGGACATCCAACATTACAAGTTTGTCACCCGTCTCTTTGGTGTACATACCGTACCGTGGGTCTTCACTAAAATGCTAGCCACTGTACTTGCTTTGCTTGGCTCTCAAGAAAATCCTATAGTGGGATACCTGAATGGGCATCTTTTGCTGAGGGAACAGGTGGCACACACTTTCAGTCACTGTCCAAAATAGGTTTAAGTGAACACCCAAAGTTCATGCTGGAACCTACTTATCACTTGAAGTATTTAGGCCTTCTGGATACCTCTTCTTTATGGGGCTTCCCACAGGAAAAGCTTCAAATGTTGCTCTCATGGTCTGTTGCTAAAGTCCAGGAGCTTTATGGTGGCCTCATTTGAAGCAATTCCATATACCAAATTTCACTCCAGACTGTTGTAACTCAATATTCTGGCTACATAGCACAAGAAATCCCAGGACAATTCTCTGGACAATTGTGTTAACCTGACCTCCAAAACCTGGCTTTTACTGGCCTGGTGGGTCACAGATTAAGCCCTGGAGTCTGGAAATTTCTCACCCCTTAGTCTAGAAGGTTCTTACAACTGATATATTCCTGTTGGCCTGGGGAAGCAACCTGGACACTGTGGCGCAAGGGACTTGATCATAAGAGGAATCTTGTCTCCTGATCAACACTCTGGAACTACGTGCAATTTTGGTTATCCCTTCAACAATGAACCTTTCTACTGCTTGGTCATTCAACCAGGTTTAAGTAGAGCAATGTTCTGGTAGAGGCTTACATTAACCATCAGGGAGCAGCCAAAAGTCTTGCAACTCTGAGAGATGCAGATCAGATTCTGGCTTGGATGTTCAGCCCTTTCCACCATGCACATCCCAGTTGTGGAAAATTGGCACACATTGAAATTTCATCAGTCATCTCAAGCTGGCCATAGATGGATCAACATTTGGCTGGTTCAGCAGGGTCTGCTTGCTGTGGGGGCACTCTACAGGAGGAAAGGGCCAAGAGCACTGGTGGTGGACCCGAGAAGAGGAGGACTGGCGCTGTTCCGTGCAAAACCATTGCACAGGGCAGGTAAGCATGACATGTTTAAAAAAAAAAAAAAAAAAAAAAAAACCTGCCTTTACAGTTGCTTTAAGCTTCATTTTAACTAGTGAACATTGGTCCTGCTTGGTAAGCTCTTACCTGCTAATATCTGCTAATCTTCTTTGTCATCTCTCAGGGGAGCAAAATTCAACCTATTGGCTCATATAGCATTCACTTTGGACAGTGTAGAGGACAGCTTCAGAACCCATACCATTACTGTAGCTGGGCACGGTAAGTCGCACTTCACTAAATGTTTACTGCAGTCCATGTTTACTGCATTTTCTGCCTTAAAGCATTTAAAAGAACTGTGTTACTAAACCCAGGACCCTGCATTCACCATATCTGGTCTCCCACAGTACACAGAACAAGGAAATGCAATTATTTTCGTAAATATAAACTGCAAAATACCTTTTCTCATCAAAAGTATATAGCAGTCATGTGATTTCTATCGGTGTCCAGCTGAGCATGGGTTAAAGCTTGTAGGAGGAGTTTTCATTCTTCTCTCACTGCCCTATGAGATTGCATATCCCCAGACCCTCTGTCTGGACAGTGCTGATTGGCTATGTGCTGATCACATGCGCCCTCCCAAGAAAAAGAAAACTCTCTAACCGTACACACCAAACTGAGCATGTGCAGTGTGTCCCCAAGGCTTTGTTCTGTCGGGAGATGAAATGGGGAATGTGGAAGAAGGGGAAGATCAGAGATGTCAGGCTCAAGCCTCCTTTTTACACAATGCAGAGGATTAACCCCTTAAGTTCCACAGTGAGTATAACAAGCATGTTTTATTGCATATACAGACTGATTTTACTGTTGTGGGTTTAGAAACACTTTCAAGCGGGGTGTCTAAGAAAAATAAAAACCTATTCAGTACACCTCTGCAATATATATACACATTTCCCTATGTTTAGTCCCTTTTTAAAACAACTGCAAGCACAGAAAATTATTTGCTTAGCCTGCCTGAAATCCAGTAAACTTCCATATTCCTGTTGTGAATTCTTCTGAACATACAGTATATCACTATTAGTGTTATCATCCCTGTTCTCTTCTGCTGCCATTATCTCTCCCTCTCCACTTGCATACATTGATTTCTTTGCCTACAAAACATTGGTGCTGCCTTAACTCCCGAGAGGCTGATTGCACACAGTGTTTGTAGTAGAGGGCCTTTGAGAGATGTAGTACTGGGGGCATGCTTATGTCAGTTAGAAATGACCTCCCAGCAGCTGCACCTGCAAGCATTTTTACAAATTTGGCAATGTTGTCAGAGGGAGTATAAAATGTTTGTTCTTGCTACAGGAACAAGGTAAAAAACAAAAATTGCTGGGACAACTAGTTTTAACCAGCACAGTTTGTTTGAAGAAAAAAAAAAAAAAGAATTAATTCCTAAATGCACAAAATATGCTGTAATTATTAAAAGGGATTTTGAGAGTTGTTTATTTTTAGAAATCATACTTGGCTAGTGGATGCAGCATCGGTTCGTTGCTGCATCTGTCCCCTGCTGACTCCAAGACTGAGAGCTGAGTGATCAAAGACCACTGATCCCTCAGCATATTACTTTGGTTGACACCTTGTCCTGTTTGCATACTTATACCACATGAATATCCATTGTGGCCACCATCTTCCCAGAAAAACTCTTGTCTCCCTCAAGCTTATTACTGGAGTTGACATCTTGACTTGTTTGTATAACTATCCCACCTGTATAACTTTTATATATTTTGTACAATTTGTATGAGACTTGGCACGCTTTCAGACTGGCGACGGTAAAATTGGGCGGCTAAGCTGCAGTTTTACCACCCCTCGGTCACCCACCTAAACTGTCATAATACAGCTGGACAGGGCTGTACACATGCTTTATTTTTTATTCGGGGCACAGAGTTTTATAAGCGACTTCTTGACGTCAATGGGGCTGCACCGCAACCACACGCATAGGACAGGACTGCAGCATGGCAGTGCAGAATTATAGGGTTAATCAAGCAATGAGAAGGCAATATAACAAATTTATAACAATATAACAAGTTAAGTGATGATGGAGCACTGGACTGTGGAGGGAGAGGAAGCAGATTGCTGAGAAGCTGAGCCAGGTGCCAATCCAGACATCTGGGTGGATCCCGACTTTAAAGTCTGGATCTTTCCCCAGCCTGCACCAGCTGAGTGATGTTAGCCAATAGCAGAATTTAGCCCTCTGTAAGCGGAAAAGGGGTCACAGGAGTGCAGAAAGAACTGCACTCCTGCGATCCACAAAAGCAGTACAGCCAAACAAGCTTTGGATGTACTTTTTTTCTTTAACCACTTGCCCTCCAGAGGATTTACACCCCTTCCTGACCAGGCCATTTTTTGCGATACGACGCTGCGTTACTTTGACAATTGAAAGGTAATGCCATGCTGCACCCAAATGAAATTTGTATTTTTTCCAACAAATAGAGCATTCTTTTGTGTTGTTTGAGCACCTGTGCGTTTATTTTTTGCGCTATAAAAAAAAAAGACCAACAATTTTGAAAAAAAAAAATATATTTTTGACTTTTTGCTATTAAACATGTCCAGTAAAAATTTTTTTTAAATCAAATTTTGTCATAACTTTAGGCCAAAATGTATTCTGCTACATGTCTTTGCTACAAAAAAAAAATCCCATTTCGTGTAAATTAATTGGTTTATGTGAAAGTTATAGCATTTACAAATGGCGGTGTACATATGCTGGCATTTTTCATTTTTTAAAAAATGTTTAGTAATGACGGTGATCAGCGACGTATGGCGGGACTTCTGCGGGCATTCTGACACTGGGGGGAACTAACTTGGTGTCGGGCATCTCCAGTGACACCAATACAGTGAATAGGGATGTGCACGTGCAGCAAAAGTTGTCCCCCGGGGGAGGAAATAGGCAATGAGGAGGAGACATAATGGATCCTCACTGCCTGTCAAATGCCCTCTAAAAAGCGATCCAATGCAAATTGCTTTGGAGTGGGCGTCAACTAGCCCTAAGGCCCCATTCCCACCTTTGCAGTTGTGACTGAGTGCATGTTTTTGTGCAGCACGTATAGGGCAGCATAGTAATGTCAATGTGCTGCCTTATGTGCAAAACATGCACTAAAGAGCCCTTTTAAAATTCATGCCACACCAAAATGCATGTTTTTTTTGTTACCATGCTTTTGCACTCATTTGCATGCAGAAAAATGCAAGGTGTGTGGGGAGTGACATTAAGAATTAATGGCACAACAGCATGCCTGTAAAAGAGCTGTGTTTTTGTGCATTTCAGGGGCACTTGTGATTTTGTGCACATTTCTGCAATGCACAAATGCCCACCTAGTGTAAGGAGGGGGAGGGGATGTGGAAGGGTCTGAGGAGGAGAAGGGGGGTGTGGGGTGGTGTTAGAAGAAAAGGAGCGATGTGGTGGGTGTCACGATCGCGGCGCCAGATCCCAGCCCTTCTCACCAAACTCGTGACCGAAGGACTAGCCGATCTAAAACCGCGATGTCACGTGCGTAACAATGCCACACCCAGCTGCACTCTACACAACGATTTTCCAGCTAATTGGACCACAATCTATGTACTGGCAGCCTGAGCGATTGTTACTGGGTCAGGTTAATTACGCAATTAACCCTTCACTCTGCCACCACCTCCTTTTTGGACAGAGAAAGAGGAAACTCGGCAATATCAGCTAAAACACTATAATGGTTGAGATTGTCTGCATAATACGGTCACCGCAGGCCGAATATGCAGAGCGTTAAACAAACACAGCGTTCTCTTTAGAGGCAGGAATTCGTAAATTGCAATAAAGCGCTATAGAAACAGTTCAAAACTTTCAGAAGGTAAGATTTATTACTAAAAGGTCAAACAGGTGCAATAAAAATATTTACAGAAAAAATGTAACTAAGAGAGATAGATATACACACACACAGAGACTAACAGGTTGGCAGATCAAAGTTTCAGAGCAAAAGGGCACAGGTCTCCCCAGGTGGTATTTATGTTAAAATGGGAGAAGTCTTCAACCTAGACTCTTAGGCCTGACAGCCTATTTTGTAGTCCGCAGCAGGGGGTGTCTCTGAAGTCAAGGACCAATACCCCGCTTAGGGCGTGGAGGTATAGGTTGATACCTCAACTAGAGCCAAAATCTCCCTTAACTCATATTTTGGCCCATAACTTTCCAGCTGCACAAGTGACATTCCACCTGCGGGTAGATTATTATGCAGACACATCTGAGGATTGATTAGATATGAATTATGAAATTATACACTGTACGGTTCACGAGATCTACTTTTCTGTTTTCCTATGTATCTGAGACAATGTGAGTGACCTATCAAACTGTTCGCCTTCTCGTGGCCAATCTGACAATAGGTCCAGTTTTTATGTAAGTCTCTCATATTCCAAGATATGAAACATAGGGGAGAAATGGATTTTGAAAAGTGTTGATCTCTTTCTGTCACCTACGCTGAGTGAGGTTTATTAGATTGGAATCTCTTTCAACTCCTGGGAAAGCTTGCCTTATCTCTTACGAGGTGTTACAATTTGCAGGTTCTTTGGACAGGGAGGCCCCGGCTCCCTTGGGGGGCTTTATAGCTCCTATGACCCTCCTGTGACATTCCCAACTCACACACATACTGGCCAAATGTCGCTGGGCCTCTCTAGGGAGGGAGGGGGGAAGAATGAAGGAGAAATATATTTGTCAGGATGGTTAATCCCTTTGCCAAGATGGAGGTTGCAGCCAAAATGGTTGAACCGTGTCCATCTCTGGGTATACACTGTTACAGTGGGGTCTGAAGAGGAGAGAGGGGTGTGGGGGGGAAGTCTAAAGAGGAGAGAGATGTGGGGTCTGAGGAAGAGGAAAAGAGAGCGGTGTTGGGTGGTCTGAGGAGGAGAGGGAGATGTAGTGGAGTCTGAGGAAAAGAGGGGGTGTGGGGGGGGTCTGAGGAAGAAAAGGGGAGTTGTGGAGCTGTCTGAGGAAGAGAGGCGTGGTGTGGGGGGGTCTAAGGCTTAGTTATCCCTCCCTTTCCCTTTGAACCTGGTTAACCCACAAGACTACTTCTCATCTCTAGTCATGTCACATGACAAGGGGAGAGTGAATAAACCCTTACTACTCAGCAGAGCAGCGCTAAGACTGTTGAGTTGCAGTGCAGTTTCTCTGTCTCCCTCCTACAGGCTGGAGTAGAAAAGAAAAACAGAATCCTCTCCCCAGCAGTAGCCGGCCACTCTTCTTGTGACAGGAGTAAATTACTCCTGTCAATGATGAGTGGCACAAGCAGCTAAGTTGCTAGCGTTCCCCTGAACACTCTGCCTGGGGCAGGAGCCTGTATACTAGCACATTATGAAAGACTTACCTGAAAAAAAGCCCCCCTCCAATGGAACACTGTCACGGTTCTCCAGGGCCGTTTGACTGGCCGAGCCATGGTGATGTCACGCCGTACACGCAGGAGTCTTAGGCCACACCGTCCATTGAGAGCACAGTGTGCATGTGCCGGTGACATCACCAACTGTGCTGAAGTAAATTTCTCCTAAACGGTGCACGTTTACGAGATTTTTATAGTACTTGCAGATGGGCTTTATTAAAGGCTTACCTGTTGGTAAAACATGAAAAAAATCACTTTACTACCATTTTAAGGTTATGGTCCTTTAACCGCTTCTGCTCCACCCTATAGCAGAAATACTGCTACAGGGCTTCACGGGTGCGCAAAATCACGTGCATATACGTGATTTTGCAGTTCCGGGTAGGGGGTGCGTGCTCTACCCGCGCTGCCATTTCCGGACTCTGCTGTCAATCATCGGGTCCCAGCTGGTGATTCCCCGCCGGCACCCAGTGATTGCAAAGTATCACCGACGGGGGAGAGACTTGTGTATAATAAACAACACAGATCTCTCCCCTGTCGGCTCCTGCACACTACTTTGTATGGCTTGCATAGCAGTGTCAGTGCTTTTTATTAGCACTAATCGCTGTGTTGGTGTCACTGGGGATGTCCGTAACACCAAGTCAGTTCTCCCCAGTGTCAGAATGCCTGCCCCAATCCAACAGTCCTGCTATAAGTCTCTGATCTCCACCATTACTAGTAAAATAAATAAATTCCAGTATATGTACCGCCATTTGTAAACGCTATAACTTTCACGTAAACCAATTAATTGACACGTATTGGGATTTTTTTTTAGCAAAGACATGTAGCAGAATACATTTTGGCCTAAATTTATGATGAAATTTGATTTAAATTTTTTTTACTGGACTTGTTTAATAGCAAAAAGTCAAAAATATTTTTTTTCTCAAAATTGTCAATTTTTTTCTTTATAGCGCAAAAAATAGAAAAACACACAGATGATCAAATACCACCAAAAGAAAGCTCTATTTGTGCAGAAAAAAAAGGACGTAAATTTCACTTGGGTGCAGCATAGCATGGCAGCGCAATTGTCAGTTAAAATAACGCAGCGCCGTATCGCAAAAAATGGCCTGGTCAGGAAGGAGGGGGGGGGGGGGGGGTAAATCCTCTGGAGGGAAAGTGGTTAAAAACCTAAGAGTTGTGGCAAGTGCTCCTCTATGTGTCCATAAGACACATGGAGCTGAGCGGCAGCTCCATGATAGAATACATGAAGTTAGAAAAAACCCTTGAGCCTTTAGAACCACATTAAATAGTAAGTTGTCCATGCACAGTGGTTTCTGGCATTTCCAGACGATTAGATACTCAGAACTTTTTACTGGCCACTACAATCTTTTGTATAAGGTCATACAATTTTTCTCTCATACTGTATGCAAACAGTGTTTCTAGATGATCTCTGTGCTGTTACTGGAGAACTGTGCAAACCTTACTGGTGCCACATCATTCTTTTATGCATATGTCACAAATATGCTACATGGTTTCCATCTTGTAACGTTGACATGTATAGATAACTTTTAGGTGTGGTATAATTTTTGCAATTAATTTATTTTACTTTTTGTTATTCAGAGGAATGCTCATTTTGGCTGCCTTTATATGGTAGCCTGTGCTGCCGTTTAGTTGCACAGCCAGCCTGTTTGACAGATGAAGTCATGGTGGGGTTCCTTAACCAAGAGGTAAGAACTTGTTTTAGTAGAAAAAATACTCTGTGGAATTAGGCTTGGTTGCTTCAATTTGTTACCTCTGAAATTAAATACTGAAACATTTCTTGATTAATCTTCCATAAACTAATTTTTTCATCATTCCATCAACTGTGTATATGTAGAGATTTTCACAGGATATATTCTGAGTATTGAGATACAGTTTGAAGTTTGTTGCTGTGTGTATGAATACTGCTTTACTGGCTAGGAAATGAAAACCTAAAAGGATTTATTATCCACTTCTTTACTAGTGCCATGTATAAATGGCAGCTGGTAGAACGGGATTTTTAACCGTGTTTCTGCATGTGTTCAGCCGGTGACTTGCCTTCTGGTGGAACAGATTCAGTTGACTGAATGTACCAGCACCTGTGGTGTAAGTGGGGGCGGTCTCAAATGTATTATATATTTTTTTGCATGTGTGTAACTTTAATTTTTAAAGATAAGTGGGAAAAAAAGTAAAAAAGAAAAATTAGTTACATCACCTTCTCATCGCCTGATGTAACCCTGTAATGCTACCATGCTGCAGTCACTTGCATTGCACGTGGTTGTGATGCAGCCCCATTGACCTCAATGGATGAGTTTGACATGTGATGCCGCTTGTTAAACTCTGCGCCCTGAGTAAAAAAATTAAGCATGCGTACAGCCCTGTCCAGCTGTATTATGACAGTTCAGGTGGGTGACTGAGGGGTGGAAAAACTACCGTAAAATACCCTTTTAACATCACCCATATGAAAGCGTGCAAAGTCTCGCACAAAACAATGAGTTACATAACAGGCCAAGGTGTCAACCTCAGTAATATGCTTGATGGAGAGATGAGTTCTTCTAGGAAGATGGAGGCCACATTTGATATACATATGTGTGGTACATGTATACAGACAGGACAAGGTGTTAACCCCAGTAATATGCTTGGAGCAGAGGTGAGTTCCTGTGAAAAGATGGTGGCCACAATGTAAATAGTAAGGTCCCAAAGTATGCATACATTGGCCCCATTTGCCTTCAGTAGGTTGGCTAGGTGCATACCAAATACAGTAGTTTGTGCTAGTACATCTTGTGTAGGTCTTTGGTTTCTTCATGTATAGCCTCTTTGTGGGTTTTCATTAATTTCAGGCCTAAAATGTGCATTTTAATGTGTGCAAAGCCTGAAAAAAATGGTAGAAAAGCGGTTAAGAAACAGACATCGCTTTCTAGCATGGAGTGTGGTAATTTTTCTATCAAATTATTATAAGTATTTTCATTGAAAATAATGCAGCATGTTTGTTTGGGTTCCATAGCTGTAAAAATAATTTTTAAGCCTGCTTAAGCCTGCAATGCATGGGTTGAATTCTGCAAGAATTTTCGTTCGAACTTCGCACAATTAGTGGGCCACAGCAACAGCCAATTTTCGAGCACCCAACGTGAGTGATCAAGCATGTCGGACATTTTTTGAAAAACAAACCATTTTCTCATCAATGATGGGAGAATCATGCAAGAAATGTAATTGAAAAAGAAAGGAGCGTAAGCTGTGGCCTGGAAAGGAAAGAAAATTCTTGGCCATGAAAATTCTTTTCATTAGCAACATAAGGTGAAATTAAAGGCTTGGTTGGTCAAATTTCAAAATCAATGGTGGCACCACTGGATTACAAAATTTCAGATTTTTTTCAGAATTCAGAAAATTTGTTTGGCATTCAACCCATGTATGGCCTGCATTAGTGGAAATTTTCTTGTGCAATTACACATAAATTGTGTGATTTGTATAAAAGAATTCACCCCATAATGCTTAGGAAAATGCAACAGAAGAGGTAATCTGCTACAGGTGTGGTAGGTCCTCCTTATGGATGATCTTGTGTGTCATTGATTAAACCTTCGGCAAGAATCTGATCAAAGCAGCAGCGTGTATCAGCAATTGTGACAGAAGATGTACAATCCCTAATGTGCATTTTATGTGGCCAAGATAAGAAAATGGTGTGAAGCAACTTAAATATCAAGTCCAGTTGGCTTTGGGCTTTTGTGAAAAATTTGTATTCATTATTCCAGAATGGCATTCTTCAATTTCCTCAATGCGGAAAGCAGTTTTGTGCAGTAACCTAAAGCTAATGACCATAGACTAAATGAAGCTAATAGCTTGTAGCCATCCTTGCTTTTATCACTGTTAAGTCTAGGCTAATGGCCGTAAGCCAGACAGGATTTGAAGAAAAAAAAAAAAACAATATAACATTCAGTAAGTTTTTTTTTTTTTTTTTTTTTTTTTTTTTTTCTCTTGTATATAGTAATGAAGAACTTTCTCTATTTTCCTAACAACCAATTAGGTGCTTCTTTTCCAGTTGCTAGGGTGTTTAAAACAAGTAAAGGAAACCCTGATTCATCGTTATGAGGAAAACACAAATTGTTCTTTAGTGATATACACCGAGCATAATAGGTTTGCTTGGAATGTAAAAATAGCAGCAGGATAATAAATAATTCATCTTGCACTCCTGTATGTCCATGGTAGCTAATCAGGCATGACATGGTCATCTGTTAGATGATCAGAGTAATTGTCTAATGAATCGGTGTCATTGTAAATACGAAGCCTGCAATAAAGAGTTGTTTCGAAGTATTGTTTATAGTGAAAATATTGTTGGTTATTAGTGGATATAGCCTTACTGTGTGTTTTTAGTGGGGTTTTTGTTCCCCTTCTTTTCCTTGATTGGTTATATTGGCAGAATGGATGTCCTCTTTATGACATCCATGGATTTTAAGGCTTAGGGGTCAATTCACTGAGATATATAAATACCGCATTAATTTTTATTTTTGCAGTGTTTAGTGCATTTTTACACCTTATTTTACTTCAGATTGGATCTCCAGCTCCATCTGGAAGGAAAACGTGTAGCAGTGGTACTCTTACCACTTCTAATTGTATCCATTCCAGCTCAGAGATGCTGGTTGTTAGGCAGCCTGCAACCTCTGGCTGTGCACTGCTCATTTAGCTGTCAATCAAGGATTGTAAACAAAATGGCCTGGACAGCATGTAAAAATGGTGTGAGGTTCCCCCCCCCCCCCCCCCAAGTGCCATAGCGCCATAGCAGACCCTTATCTGGGTATGCAGCCTGGCAGACCAGGAAAGATGGGGTGACAAATATGTGCCCCATCCTGAACAATAACCATTTACATGTGGGCGTCTTTCATCCAATCCTTGCCTGGTTGCTCTGAACAAGGGACTTAATGGAGTCTGGAAGACACCCTTTAACAATAACACCCCTTCAGAAAAAAAAAAAGGACAATAGAAATAAAAACATCCTTTTATTGAAAAAAAACAAACTGATGCTCGCCAAGACCCCATCTCTTCCCTCGCTCTTCTTCAGGTACCCGCCACTAAAGAAAATAGAGGAGCCAGGGTCACCAGGGTGACATCATTGAGCAAATATTGACATCTAAGATCTGTTGAGGGAGCCACAACCTTTATCTAATACTGCAGTAGTGCCTCATAGGCAGAGCCCTCTCTGCAAGTAAGCGCCCACTCCTAAAAGTTGGGGGGCTGTTTATTCATATTGTGGGGTCCCTGGTAGTTGCCCCACTGTGACTTGGATGCTTAGACTTCCTCCTGTAGCCTCCATTTTAGACCATTCAGTTAGGCTCCTCCTTCAGATACCCTTCCTCACCTTTCTGGTATTGCTGCACCATTGTGCACTTTCCCAGTTTTAAAAGTAATTTCCTTGCTCTTATGTTAAAATATTAAAACCTCCTTGTACTGCTGAACACTGAAATATCCTCCTGGACATTCAAAATGCAAAAGAAAAGAAGAAACTGCCACACTCAAGTGTACATTTGACCATAGAACATAGTTGCTCAATAGTACTAAAAAAAACTCTGTAGATAATCCAAACTACAGTAATGATATTTTGAACCCCAGTGACTTGTGAGATATGGCACTACAGTGCATTCAGTGCCCTATTTCATGTAATACAAATAAACCTAATAAAATGTATATAGCACCCAAAATACACTATATTGTCAAAAGTATTTGGACACCCCTCAAAATCATTGGATTCAGGTGTTCCAATAACCTCCATGGCCACAGGTGTGTAAAATCAAGCACCTAGGTATGCAGACTGCTTCAACAAATATTTGTGAAAGGATGGGTCGCTCTCAGGAGCTCAGTGAATTCAAGCGTGGTACTGTGATAGGTTTCCACCTGTGCAATAAGTCCATCCATGAAATCTCCTTCCTGCTAAATATTCCACGGTCAACTGTTAGTGGTAGTATAACAAAGTGTAAGCAACTGGGAACAGCAACTCAGCCACAAAGTGGTAGGCCATGTGAAATGGCAGAGCGGGGTTAACGCTCTGTTGAAGCGCAGAAGTTGCCAACTGTTTGCAGAGTCGATGGCTAAAGACCTCCAAACTTTGTGTGGCTTTCAGATTAGCACAACAGTGCGTAGAGAGCTTCATGGACTGGGGTTTCCATGGCTGGCAGCTGCATCCAAACCTTACATCACCAAGCGCAATGCAAAGAGTTGGATGCAGTGGTGTAAAGCAAGCCGTGTAAAAGGAATGGCAAAAAGGAAAGCAAAGTCCTTAAAGATATGGAAGAGTGTGTTTGGGGTGGAGGAACGTGACTGGCCTGCACAGCGTCCTGACCTCAACCCGATAGAACACCTTTGAGATGAATTAGAGCAGAGACTGTGAGCCAGGCCTTCTCATCAGACATCAGTGCCTGACCTCACAAATGCGCGTCTGGAAGAATGATCAAACATTCCCATAGACAGACTCCTAAACCTTGTGGACATCCTTCCCAGAACAGTTGAAGCTGTTTTAGCTGCAAAGGGTGGGCCAACTCAATATTGAACCCTACGGACTAAGACTGGGTTGCCATTAAAGTTCATGTGCTTGTAAAGGCAGGTGTCCTAATACTTTTGGCAATATAGTGTATAGCATGAATATTCCAATCAAGTGCTCAATTATAAGAGTGACCCGAATTATGAACTTGGCACTATAGTGCACCTCCCCTCTTCCAACACACAC